TGAGGTGAAATTAGGTCGCCATTGCGAGAAGGAGCCTAAAATTGAATATGTCTGCCCCCAGGGGCTCCAGGAACGCAATATCAACACAGATCAAATGCTTTCTATGCGAGCAGAATTAATCAGTCCTAAAAAACACTCTAACATGGTACAAGGCAGTATTTTTTCCAGGAAGTGCCAACTTTCTACTGAGAAATATATTCCATCTGAACTTCAGATTGCCATTTAAAATTATCCTGCAAAAAGAAAAAAATGCACGAATTGAAAACATCTGGCCTGCTATTGAGTTATGCATTCTGCTTCTAGAAATTCGCTGTGTTGTAAGAATCTGGACACTTTTTCTATCCTAAACTGTGGCTTAATGATCATAAACAAATGTCGGGAACCTAGGGGAGGACATCTCAGCACTTGGTGGAATGACTGTGCCCTTCATATCTGCCCAAAAGATGTCTTGGGGGGTATGTTAATGGGAACAGGGCCTTTAGACCCTTCCTAAAAAGCAATCTCTTGTAACACTTACGGTTCTGGGCATAGAACGAGACCATTGTGTGTGACCTGATTTCATTTCAGTGACTGTCCCAGTAAAGAATGACATCATCCCATTCTCTTTTCTTGGTCTTCACTTGTGACTGTCCTGGTCCCCCAGCCCCCACCCTCATCATAATTAAACTGCTGACTCCCTCCTTCCCGTTCCCCACCCATCATCTCCAGGAGAATAGCTATTTTCCTCTTCACTTCCTGCCTGAATATATTACTATGGCAAGAGCAAAGGGTTTTCCTCTGGTCGCTCAACATCCCTGGAGTTTGCTTCCTCACCGTATTAGACAAAGCACTATTCTGTTGGCAGCCAAAGCATACTGAGAGAGCCATCTGCTGGGACAGGTCCCAGTCAGATGGGAAAGGAGACAAGCCAGCTAAAGGCGGCACAGCCCAACGGAGAACAATGCTTCTCATCCCATTGGAGCTTGGGGTTTTCTTTAAACACAAACTAGTTGGCTCTGCGGATGTATTGTCTAAACAGTTCCATTTAACTATGTCTGGACAAGCGCACAGATGCGCACGCTTGTGCACACCAAAGCTTGCTCTATCACTTAGAGTTGTATTGCAGGCTCACATGTGAAAGTATTCAGTTTCAGAGGGTAGAGAGGATGAGGTAGAAGAAGACGCCAGTTTAAAAACTGGCATCAGAATGCAACCCAATAGAACGGCTGTGTGCAGGAAGGCACTGACTGCGTTATGTTTTTTTTTTTTTTTTAAGATAAAGAGTGTTATCTTTATCTTTTACAGGAGAAAAGCAAAATCAACTTATATGTCCCACATCAAATTATATGTCCTGTATTCATATGCACAAATTTAAACTATGAACTATGCAGACAATGAAGAAATCGTCAACTGCTTTGTTATAAAATTAAATGAAAAGAGTCCAAATAAAACTATACGTTCTCGGGCCGGCCGAGTGGCGCGATGGTTAAGAACTGGCCTGGGACGCCGGAGGGCCCCGGTTCGGATCCCACATATGAGGGCCAGTGACACTGCCCTCCACAGCTGAGAGGCTGAGCAGCGGCTCAACCTGGAGCTGGGCTGCCGTGGGTCGCCGGCGACGGCGTGGGCTGCGGTCCCTGTGGCGGTGGATTGCCATGGGCTGCCGTGTGTGGCCAGCAGCCAGCGTGAGCGGCCAGCAGCCGCAGTGAGCGGCCGTCCGGAGGCCGGCGACTGAGCTGCCTCGCCAGAGAAGGGCGCAATGATGGTGCCAACTTGGGCCAGTGAAGCAACATCCTCCACAACTAGATTGAAGAACAAAAACGACAGCAACTTGTCTGTTCCCCTTTCCCCAATTCCCCAGCACTGTTCCCATCCCCCCAATTCCCCAATAAAAATCTAAAAAAAAAACACAAAAAAAAACAAAACTATACGTTCTCCAAGCTTCCAATGATGTAAAAAATTAGGTAGTACCATCTGAAACTGCTGCTTTTGAAGGTCAAAAATCAGTCAAATA